TACCTAATATACCTAGTCTCCGCCAGTAAAGTTAATTTCATAATGCCAGCTCCATCCGTTACTCTAAATTCGAATTGTACCAGACTTAGTACCGTTTAGTAATTTTCGTATATATGGATATACACTTCCGAAACTACCTCCTTACATCCAAATATAATACATTTTGGTACTTTTCATACACTTATGGTTTGAATTTTCAAACACCCTTTAGTACATCCATCATCACTGCATAAGTGACTGGTTCGTCAAATACAAAGATACCATATTTAGCGCCTTTTAGTACTTTTCATACTCTTCTAGTACGAATTTTCAAAAACCCAGCCTTATCTGAGACCTTCGGACCAAGAAAGACTAGAAAGTTGTTTCATCTATTATCATCGAAAAATGCGAGAGAGGGAGAGAGATCTAGTCAACACTCAATTCTCTTAATAAACAAAATACCCAATATTTTCATGATTTTTAAATATATGTCAATTGAAAATCGTGTAATAGCTTACTTTACGTTCACACTGTCTAGTTATGACGTGAAATAGAAAAATATACAACTCAAATAACAGAAAAAATTAATAACTTGTTGTCCGAAATGAGTTACTTTACTGGCCCCAAGATTCACCATGGTGACATCAGCCTTGAGAACTTTAAGAATTTTTTAGTTTATAAATTTTATTAAACAACTATTCTTTGGCATTTAACAGGGATGATCCTAATAACCTCTCTTATCAAATAACTTTGTGATTTATTATTAATAACTTCAGCGGTATAACTTGAAATATAGAAACCACATCGTCTTTGCCTTTAAATGTATCTATTGAATAATTCCAAACACAAATTTCATGTGAAGCTCAAAATAGCATTTTAATTTTATATACACACATACTCAACAATGTACCTAGCCACAATTTATTCACCACCTCTATAAATAATTTACAAAATTTATTTAATATAATTTTTCGACCACTAAGTAATTATATTGAGCATGTCATCATTTGTTTTAGAAAATATTACATCAAACCGCAGCTGATTTGGAGACATACGATTTTTAATTTCAATTTCGTTATGCGTTACGTTTTATTCGAACGACATAACAATTTATCTAAAACGTATTAATTAAATGAATTAAATGATATGGCTTTTAGGGGCTACCGCATACATCTGGGGGATTAGTTGATATCTGAACCGTTGCGGCAAGTCCCATACAGATTTAAAATTTAATTTTATTGGCCAAAACTTCAATTTGTTACATCATTGATAAAGGATTACAAACTCGGATGAAAAAAGGGATAAACTTCAAAAATGACCCAAATCGAGTGGTATGTGAGATATACTCAAATCGACATGGAATTTTATGCTGCACATTTGTGGACAAAATCGACTGATACTTTCCAACTTAGTTTAAGGTTATAAGGGCGCATTGTGCTTCCTTCGCTTCTATAATAATCCCGTCATAATCCCGTTAATGGGGCAAAACTCTCGCTTCTTATCAAATATAGTTGGATTTCCATATGTGTATCTCAACTGATATATAATTAAACCTACCCATGATGTTTAAAACTATGGATCACTAAAAATGCAGATTTCATTGAAAATCTGTTGTGATTATTCAAATTATTGACACTATATAGAGTAGATTCCGAAGGAATGGCCCAATATTGCCGATTTTTAGAAAGTGTTAAAATATGCGTGTGGTACCAGTATAGTCGACCGAAATATTCCATTATCATACTTCATCTAACAAAGATAAAAATATTGGTATGGGCAAAATTACAAGAAAATTGAACATTTGTATCCAATTTTATGCAAAATCATAAATTCCATATTCATCTCAGGTTTCTTGCTAAGATAAATATTTAGATATAGAAAGTTGTAAAGAATCGCTGTCCTATTGGGCAAGTTATGACAGATAAAAGTATGGAAAATGTTGACCCTTTGTGGGTGAGGTACCAGAAGGGGTTCTCAGATATATATCATCTTTACAACATATCTTGTGGAGATAACAGAAGGAATGGTTTAATCTCTACCATCTTCATAACAGATCTTGTAGGTCCACGTTTTCGTATAGCCCCATATAACGGTAACTCCCAATATTCGGTATTTTGATGATTTTAGCGACGTTATTAACCGGAATTGTTTAAAATTTGGTGTTTGTAGTTCGTAATGGATACTACAGCCTAAGACAGAAAATTGTCTGTGCAGTTCCACGTTTTCGTATAGCCTCCATATAACGGTACCTCCCTATATTCGGTATTTTGATGATTTTAGCGTCATTATTCACCGAAATTGTTTCAAATTACGTATTTAGAGCTCGTAGTGGGAACTACAGTCTGTGACAGAAAATTGTCTATGCAGGTCCAGGTCTTCTTATAGGCCCCACATACCAGTACCTCCCTATATTCGGTATTTTGACGAGTTTAGGTACAATACCCACCGAAATTGTTTGAGACGCGTATTTGAAGTTCGTAATGGATGCTACAGCCTATGACAGAAAATTGCCTATGCTGGTTCAGGTCTTCGCACAGCTCCGATATAACGCTACCACCCTATATACGATATTTTGATGATTTTAGCTACACTATTCACCGTTTATTTCAATTTTCGAATTTGAATATGGTAATGACTTATGACAAACAATGCTCATGTAGGTCCACCTCGTATAGACACCAATATAACGGCTATGTTTTTCTAAAATTTTAACAGAATTTTTTAAGTGTTTTATTTCCAAATTCGTTCCAAATGGTGGAAATGGTTATTCAAAACGTTGACCCTTTGTTGGAGGAGGTAGCAGAAGGAATGGTCCGATATCTACCATCTTTATAGCAGATCTTGTGTTGATAGAAGTATTGAAATGTGCCAAGTCTGAATGGAATCGGATGTTAATTTCGTGTTGTATGAGCTTCATGAATATTGAAAATGATGACCCTTTTTGTGGGGGAGGTACCGGAAGGAGTGAACCGATATATTCCATCTTCACGCCAGACCTTGGGTTGATAAAATTATTGTCATGTGTGTAATTTGAACACAATCACATTTTATAAGAGTTATAAAAGTTTTCAAAATATTGACCCTTTAGGGGGAGGTACTTTATGAAGTGAACCGATAATATGAATTTCGCACCTAACCTAGCGCTGATGAAAACATTAGGATTTGCAAAGTTGAAGCAAAGTTAGATCATCCTTTCTCTTTTGTGCAGTAAAATATTTTTCTGAAAATGTCGAACTTTTGTGGGGGTTTTACCAGAAGGAGCGGACCAATATTGCCCATCTCTGAACTCAATCTTAGTTAGATAATAATATTACGATGTAGCAAGTTTGGATCAAATCGGCGAGAGTTACTTTTATAACCCTACAATCTATCAACAAGTAAAAAGGAAGCTAAGTTGGCTGGGCCGAACTTTTAATACCGTCCACCATTTGGAAGGAAATTGAAATTTTTCAAAACAAAAATCCGAAAACTACCACTTAATTGAAAATCGTTATATGGGGGATGTACGAAAACGCGAACCTGCATACGAAAATTCTTGTCGTAGGCTGTAATATCCATTACGAACTTTAAATACGAATTTTGTTACAATTCCGTTGAATAATGTCGCAAAAATCAAGAAAATACCGAGTATCGGGAGTTACCGTTATATGGGGGCTATACGAAGACGTGGACCTGCATATGTTTTTGCTTGCCATAGGTTGTAGTACCCATTAAGATCTTCCAATGCGAAATTTGAAACGATTCCGGTGAATAATGTTGCTGAAATCATCAATATACCGACTATCGGGTTGTACCGTTATATGGGGGCTATACGAAAATGTGGACCTACATGACCCATTTACGAACTTAACCTGCCTGGTGGTAAACTATGCATGTAGCCTTCTATCTCAATTCGTTCGAAAGATAGTGTGATTATAACAGACAGACAGACGGGCAGACAGACGTGCATCGCTAGATAGTCTTAGAATTTTACGCTGATCCAGAATATATGTACTTTGTAGGGCCTATTATGAATATCTTGAGGAGTTACAAACGGAATGACAAAGCTAACATACCCTCCATAGAATTGTGAAGGGTATAAAGAGTATTATATGGACTGAAAGTCTTGACAATGGTATAAAGAGACGTTCTTTCCAATGATAATCGATATGAGAGCTCTGATTTGTCCGTGTTTACTCGTGAGAGAAACATACTAGAGTAGGTGTTTTACAAAAAATTTACCCTTCACTGTTTTCTTTTATTTGGGAGCCTGCAAGTTACACCTCTTCGAAACACATGAGAGTAATTCTCAATTCTCGAAAGAGAGAAACTGTTTATTCTCAAGTGTAGAATTAAGTGGGGAAATTTATTTTGTTTGCTGAGATAAGCAAGAAGGATGGTGTGATGTTGCTGTGGGCTTTGAGGAGTGAAATCGTGTACAAAATCCAAAAAAGAGAAAAAACAGCAGTCGTTATGAAAAAAAAAAAACTAAATAAGTACTCGCTCAACATCGAGCAGATTTTACTTTCACTCGAAAAGAGGCAAGACCCATAGGCTCTTATTCGAGTGGCATAGAATACTCGATTTCTTCTTTTTTACATATAAGAGCACTCTCGTTCAAGTTCGATCGAGTATTATGTTTACTCGAATTCTAAGTAGGCTGAAGACATTGCAAAGGACTTTTGGAACTGCGTTTTGTAGTGTTTTCGAAAGGTAGAACTGCTTTTAAAATATATTTCTTCAAGAAACATCTGAAGATTTAGTCTTTAGAGGAAGACTACGGATTAACGAATTGTTTTGAAGTTTTTTAATGACTTTATGTAAACTTTATACAATCAATTCCTGCTATGTTCCAGAACCTACAAGAATCTACTAGTTTCGTATTTTTTTTTTTCGATATCAAAAAAATCAGTTATTGCAGTAAAAACTTTTACTTTTTTGCAGTTCTGGAACAGAGTATCTCTTAATAGGGACGTTTGGAATTCGGCACTTCTTGCCCAAAATGCTACCATATTTAGAGGTACTTATAAAGAGGTACTCACCTTTTAGTTTCGATAAAATGTTGCTGCGTTATGGTTGTTGTTGTTGTTGGTGATGGTTACGACGTCGACAGTAGCGGCTGCACCTATGATTCTGGTGAGATGGGGGTGATGACGACGAAAAGCTGGAGAACAAAACAAACTTGCCGCACACATTAGAGCGAGAGACTACACAAATCGTCGGTGTGAACACACGGCAGTATCACCGATCCGTTAAAACGTTCCCCGCAAAGCGAACAAAATAGCAACAACAAAGAACGAACGAAAACAAAATCAACAAAACAGGCCACACATGTGTGGGCTTTTCGCAGGTGGAGAACGGCAGAGGCGGCTTCTTCTAGGAGTAGTGCGAGCACACACAAACGCTGATTGCTGTTGCTGACTTGTGCCGATTACCTTGTGTGGATGAGAAAAAGGGCTGGAGAGCAGGGTGGTTTGCAGGTTGGAGGAAGTGCTGCTGGAATAGTTTTTATTCAATTGCTGTCGTCGTTGCTGCAAAACGAATCACTACACACTTCGAATCGAATCTGACCGGCGTACCAATAATCTAGCGCCACACTACAAATAATCACCACCGCAACGCTTGGTCATTACATTTGCATGAATGTAATTAAATTTTTTTTTCATATTTTTTTATTTTACTTTCATTCTTATTCTGATCTCGTTGTTTCACTTCTTCTTCACTTTCTTCTTGTGTACAATTAAATTTTTTTAAAATGCTTTTTTGCTATTTTTAATATTTTTTGTTTTTTCTTTTTTCTTTACATACACACTTTTTCACTTGTGTTTGTTGTTATTATTGTGGCTGATACTTTTGTTGAGAGGAGGCCTGCAAAAAAAAAAGAAACATTGTACGTTGCTAGATTTAAGTTGTTGTTGTTGCTGCTGTTACTCGGCTGCTACTGCTGATGTATGCAAATAAACCAAGGAATAGCTGTTTTATTTTGTTTTTTCAAGTCACAACATGTAATTTTGTTTTCATTTTTTTATTTCACCCAAAAAAAACCGCTTAGTTCATAATTTTTCTTTGTAGAAATCGCTTTTCTACATTCCGCCACCGCATATGGCAGTGTTTTTGTGTCGACAAATCTCCGTCCAAAATCCCCAATTGGTTTGTAAACAAAATCGAAAATTCATATTTCTGTGTTCTTCTATTCGTCTGTTTTCGCACTGATTCTATTCCTTTTATCTTTTTGTGGTATGTACCGTGTTTTCTTTGTTTTTTTTCTTGGTTCAAATCCCGACCGTGCTCAACGTATAAAACATGCGCTGCTGGCAGACAAACGACGACGACAACGACGACGGATGGCAGACGACATTGTAAGTTATTCCTCGTCGTTGTTGACGCCTGTTCGTGCGTTTGTTCGTTCGCAACGTAGTGCGTTACTCTGACTGCTGTGATGTTATTTGTTTTGTGTGTAAGTATGTCGATATGTCGGTATGTACATACACTTGTATGCAAGTGCGAATGTGGGTATGTATGTTTTAGTTTTATTGAGTGGGTGGCCACAGATGAAGGGTGAGTTGTGGGTGTTCTAGACTTGCCATATTATTAATGAGAAGTTATAGGGATTTAATAGAAATGGAGTTGACCTTTGATGTATGGGCTGCGTGGGCAATTGAATAGCGATGCCCGTAATTGTTTAATGGCAAAGCTCGTAAAAGAGAGATTTGTTAAATTCGTTCAGAAAGAACTGCCTTGCCCAGAAAGTAGGGAAACGAAAAACTAGTAAATGTGTCTAAATTATGGAAATTGTGATTAAGTGAAAGATTGTAAATATCAACTACAAGAAACTAGGAAAACTGAAACCATATACCGGAATCTTATGGTGTCAAATAGACTTAAATATGCAACATTTGCGTATTTTATATTTTTTATTGAAAGTCTTATATTGGGGAAAATAACAAAACATGAATGGAATGTTGGGATCATTTATTAGGTCGTGTACAGGTCGAAAATAGCATCGAATTTTAGAATAAGTTTAGATTTTTCCGAATTAATCGCCTTTGGCACGAATTATGGCCTTCAAACAGCCAATGAAACCGTCACACGATGCCCGAATGTTGCTCTGCGGTATTCTGACCTATTCCCGGCGAAGCACTTGCTTGAGGTGATCGACAATTTGGTATTTTGTAGTGCCAACCTTGCTTTCCAACATTCTCCAGACACAATAGTCCAACGCATTGGTATCCGGAGATTTTGATGGCCATTGTGCGCTGGAAAAGAAGCGAGGAACTTCATTTGGTAACCATTCTTGGGTGGCGCGTGCTGAGTCCTGTTGGAATGTCCAAGGTCTACGGCCAAAATGTTTGCGTGCCTAAGGCTTTAATACACCCTCCAGAATATTTTCGCGATAATATTCGGCATTTATTCTGATTAATGATCAATACGAGCGGAGGGCGACAATCAGTTGATATGGCGGCCCACACTTTTACCATGGCCGGCGCTTTAGTTCTGATGGTCAACCGAATATGTACATTTTCAGCTGACCTCTTTGGCAAGTAAATACGATCATTTTATTTGTTTACAAACTGCTGGACAACGAATGTTTTCTCATCGGAGACAACCAAATTCGGCAGTTCGCCACTTTCGTCCAAGCAAAGCGACTCTTTAGCTCCAATTCGAACAAATTTAAACGTATTTTAAAATTTGATGCTATTTCCGACATTTTTTGATTTCATTCAATAAAATTAAAAAAATGTAAAAAATTATGGCTAAATTGACTTTGCTACAGTTTTTGTTCTCACCTTGTAGACCCCAAAATAGCAGTACCTATATTCGGTATATTCAAGATTTTAACAGAATTTTTAACGGATTCTATTATCTATTTATTAAATTATTCTTATTTATTTATTTATTTTATTATTATTATTATTATTTTTTTTTTGAAAATTTCTAAATTTTTTCAATTCAAAATTCAGTATTCAAAATTCGGCCCGGTTAAACTTACTGTTTTTTAACTTGTTTTTATGCAAAACAATAATTTGAAAGAATAGGGGCACCAAGAAAAAAATGTGTTTAGGAGGTAGCTTTGTTCTACCTTCTGTTATTGTGCCATACATCGCAGAAGAATACAGGTAGATACATCGACGCTTGAGAGCATTGATATGTCAAAAAAATGTAAATGTTTTTTTCAAATTTAAGTAGATTTTTATATGTTTTCTTATACTACGTCATTCGGAGGCTATTATAATTCGCGTTTTCAACAATTTTTACAAATTTAAATAAATTTTCATTCAACATTTTCAATTCCAAAATTGGTTTGACAGTTCATTGTCCCAGCAGCTGTGTCGACGCGTCTACCTATATTCTTCTATATGGTGCCATGTTACAGTACAGTAAAATACTACATATTTTGCAAGTTTTGGAATTCAACATGTGGCCACTTTTCAGTCTACCGTCCTACAATACAAGTTACTCAAAATAGGTCTGTCTAGTTACTTTTTCTGCAGGAGTCTTTTTTCCAAAGGGTATTCTATTTTTATTCTCAATTTGATCAAACAGATTTGCAAGCAATTAGCTGATTTGTCACGGGGAAAAAAGTAAGAATTTTTGGGTTTTTAAACTTTTTTCTATAAAACTACAAGGTTTGCAATTTCCGAAATAAAAATGGTTTAAAATTACTTGCGAAAACCTTAAACACATTTGTATGTTTGTCATTTTTCCGGCAAGTATTTGTAGACTCACAGTAAACGTGTCTAACGTGACTACTGTTTCCTAGGTATCGATAGGGATAGCTTAAAATCGTTTTTGGCGATCACAATGTCGAAACATTTTAAATGGTCCTTTTCGGCCTCTTTTAGTTTTTTACCAATTTTTATCCGTTTATATGTCAGCATAGATTTTTTAACACACCGACAAAGGCCTGACTAGTTTTCGAAACAAAAAAAAAACTTAACTATCCCAACAAATAAACCCCAAAACTGTTGCAATCCTATTTATAAAACGCCTAAACAATTATTTCTTAAATCTGGCATCTCTGGAATTACTTTGGAGCCACAAGGAGGAATGTAAAAAAACACATTTTCTCTGTGTAAAGAGTGATATATTTATGATTAATGATAAAGGAGGGAGGGCAATGTTAGTGGGGTGATGAAGGTTGTGGTGGTGTTGGCCTTATTGGAAGAGTAAGTGGGGAGCACACAACTCACAATAGTGGGGACAAACTGAGAAAGAGAAGTAATCGACTCACAGTAATAACTAAGGGAATTCCTTCTCCGTTATGAGGCATTGAGAGCGCGAGAAATATTGGCACACTAACTGAGGGAGAAGAGCAAGTGAATGAGTAGAGCAGGTGTGTTGTGTTATAAATTCTCCTAGTTAAGGTTGTTGTTTTTGTCGTTGTCGCCGTTTTGTCGTTAGCCAGCCAGCCAGCAAGGAATAAGGTGATGTAGGTATGGAGTTTGTGTGCGTGTGGGGTGGGTGGATCGCTATGAACTTGGCTGGATAGACAATAATATATCACGACTTGCTGGAACGCACTTTGTCACTGTCATTTGCTTTGCTATGATTTGAAATTTCATTAAATGTGATTTTGTTTTGTGTTTTCTTTTTATTTTTACAAGCAAGTTTTGTACGTGAACTTGGTGGGGGCGTCTATTGACAAGAGAAAAAAAAACACTGGTAAACGTCACTTTGCCATTCATTCATAGAAAAATATTGGCGTTATGAAGAGAAGACGACCACGACGACGACTGTGTGATGATAATGATGAGATAGTGATGACGATGGAGAACATCGCCTTCGTCGTCGTCGTCATCATCATCGCCATCACCATTGTTCTCATCCACGATGTACCCATGTGTGTGTGTCTGTGTGCCACACTCGAATCTCGTATGGAAAGAACAATTTTGCGGAAATTCTAGGCTACTGCTGCTGTTGCTGCACAGCTGCCTGCTTCCAGGGGCAACAAACAAATTTTTCCTTTGGTTTATTTCGGATTTGTTTCTTCTTCTTAATTTCTTTCGTTGCTGCTGCTGTTAACCACAAAAATGAATATCGCCTGTGTTTTCATAGTTCATCGATATGTGAGTGTGCGTGTCGCGTATGGTGGGCATGGAAAGATGGGGGGCTGTGCGAGTTTTCGCGTGAGTAGATATACAATTTTTTTCGTTTTCTCTGAAAAAGATTCTATTTCATCCATTGTATGCGACTCTTTCAGATGGACTTTTGGTTGTTGATTTTTTTCTTTTTTGTTTTTTTGTTTTACTTTTCACATTACATTTTTCATAAAATTTTCACTATTCACAATTAGTATTTGAATTTTGTACACTTTAGAAGGCTTTCTGGGGCCAATTTATTCACCATCCTCACTTTTCTAGATAATATTTTTCTCCTTTTTTTTGCAATTTACAGAGATTTATTTTTAAACACTTTTTTTGAGTTTTTCTTTAATTGAATTTTTCGGTTATTTTGTTTTCATATTTTTTCTCTACCTCAAACTTGTCGTAGTTTTTTTTTTAAATCAAATCCGTAAAATCCTTTTACCAAAAACCAATTTAGAGTTTTTCTTTGTTTTTTTTTTTTTACTTTTCGAGAGTGCGTGTGTGTGTTTTCTGCTGGTTGTTGGTGTGTATGTTTGCGCGTACTTTTTTTGTGCGGGTGTGTGTCTGTGTCAGTGTTGTGTTGTAGTAAGAACAACAGTTAACGGCGTGTGGCTGGCGTTAAAACATCTCGGCCAAAACTGTTTGGCAGCGGAAGAGAAAATTTATACTAAAGTCAAAGATGTATAATTGAATGTTATTTGGCCAACTTTTCAACGACAATCACACACCGTTGCTCTCTGAACTTTCCAGTGAGCGAATTTCCCTGTCACTCTCAATCTCTCGTGAACACGAAGGGAGAGTCGAAATCAACTAACAAAATCAGTTTCCTTCCTCAATTTGATGATAAGCAACAGCCATCAATGGCAGGCAAAGCTTTTTTTACTATAACACAAAAATTTGCAAAGAGAATCAGAGAGAGAGAGAGTGAGAGTCTTGAGTGAGAACATATCACAATTGGGGGTCTTTCACACAGGAAAGCTTTTTGGCACCTTCATTTCATTGCTGTTATTCACAGAAAGTTCAGTTGTCCGTTTCAAAGAATTCTTGTTATGACTTGCATACAAACATTCATATATATGTGTTTGTGTGTCTGTTTGATGGTACAAATTGGTGGGGAAGCATGGTTATTCCCATGAAAAATGCAGACTTCCCCCCAAGTGAATAGGCTGGGGGTGTGAAATGCACTATCTTCTTCGTTATCTAATAAACTAACAGGTGGCAGTTAAAATTAGTGCAACAATGCGAATGGCATGAGTAATGGAGTGTAGCGTGAAATATTTGACTGGTGGGCAAATTTTGTTGGTATGTAGCAACATGTTGTAACAAATGGGCCTCAAGAGACTTTAAAGGGATTATGCTGGTAAAATAGGTTTTTAGGTGTGCGTTAAGGTCGATAGGGATTTATTGAAGCCCATAAGGCATAATTAATTAATAGAGTTCAGATGCCAAGGGAAACTTGGTTTTCGTATGGAAACAGACATATTTTTGGAGCTTTAATGATTTGTGTTTTTATACCCTCCACCCATTCTATGGAGGGTTTATTAGCTATGTCATTCCGTTTGTAACTCCTTGAAATATTAATGATAGACCCTAGAATGTAAATATATTCTGGATCAGCGGATAAGCCCGTTTAGCGATGTCCGTCTGGGTCTCCGTCTATCTGTCTGTTGTAATCACGCTATATTTCGAACGAATTGACATAAAAAGCTAAAATTATGCTTACATGCACATTTTCCCAGTAGGCAGGTTAAGTTTGTAAATGGGCCATGTCGTCCCACGTTTTCGTTTAGCCCGATATAAAGTTAGCTCCCGATATTCGGTATTTTCATGATTTTAGTGACATTATTTATGGGAAATATTCATGGTTTTAGCGACATTATTCACTAGAAGTTTTTCAAATTTTTTATTTGAAGCTTGTAGTGGGTACTACAGCCTAGGACAAAAAATCGTATGCAGGTACACATCTTCGTATAGCCCCCATATAACAGTACCTCCAGATATTCGGTATTTTTATGATTTTAGCGACATTGTTCACTGGAATTGTTTAAAATTTTGTATTTGAAGTTCGCAATGGGTAATACAGCCTATGACAAAAATTTTCGTATGCAGGACCACGTCTTCGTATAATCCGCATACAACGGTTTTCATTTAAGTGGAAGTTTTCCGAACTTTTTTTGAAAAATTTCAAGTTCCTTCCAAATGGTGGAGGGTATTAAAAGTTGGGCCCGGCGGAACTTAGCTGCTTTTTACTTTGTTGCAGTACCAAAAGAAGTGGGCTGATCTTGCTCATCTTCGAATTCGATCTAATATTTATAGAATTATTACGATCTACCAAATTAAGAAGCAATGGGATGCTGCCTTAACCGACGTGCAGACACTGACTGACGAACATCGATAATTTGACTCTAAATGTCTCAGAATATATTTCGTGCAATACCGTTATTTAGATTAGTCATATTTTGGCCGTATCGAATGATATATTCTCTCGGTAGTAATATAGCTGAGTCACCGTTGTAACAAGAAATACTGTCGAGACCATTTCGGAAGGAAGCCAACAGACACAAAATAAGATTTTTTAAGAAAACTGATCAAAAAATATGAAGAACTTTGCAATTTTGTCGTGACTCCATCGGTGGGCTGCGAGGGAATTATATCCAATTTTTTTGGCTCAGACGTTAAAAGTGCAAAAAAGATCAAAAGAATCCCTTTGTAGTGTTCATGTGGGATTCTACTCTTTAAAGTACAAAATTCACTTCTTGGGTATTGGGTGCTCCCCCATTAGTTCGTCTTACAGAATTTTGATATAACATCCGTAAAGAGTATTATTTCAAGTTTCGTTAGGTATTGCGGCCCCCTTTTTTCTCTTACAGTAAAATATTGGTCAATTTGTTTTTGAGACTCTGCTATTTTTGATGGTCCATCTTAAAATAATGTTTATCTGCCAAACTGAAATTAATTGAGTCTTATCCGTTTCTAAGTAATTTGTCTGCAACTTCACCTCAATAAATATTGATCTGGCCAGAAACCCAGCAAAGCTTAATTATAGACACTCCAGACATCTATGATTTTAGTAGAGGATGGAGGGCATTCGGGGCCATCAGTATGGATATAAAGTAAATCGATGACCTTTCTAATTGCAACAATTTACACACGACAAATTCTGCAGTCGTTGACAATTCCAGTTAATCAAGTCTCACAGCGTGTCAGAGTAGATGTTCCTCTTACCAAATTCTTCGTTATGCATGTGCAATCCATTTATCCTCATTGGTCATTTATTTCAAAACTTTTGTCCTTTTTGTAGATCTATACAAATGTATGGTTTATTCTTCTATATAATGAAATAAAAATTTTCACAACTTAAAAAATCACACAACTAAATTAAATAGTTATAATTTCTCAATTAAAAAATATACACATTAAATTTATGTGTAAAGCCTAATAGTTTGATCTGCACCCGTGGAGAACACCCATGGCTGCACTGGATGCCAGCAGACATCTAGAACACCAAATTCTTCAACCTTGTCATGAGTTTGTAGCTTTTTCAGGGGTACAATCAAGGGATTTTGAAGTAAATCACTAAAATATTAAAAGAAATATATAAATGAACAATAATCATAATATCTCAAGTGCAATACTTACTTATACACCATGCCATGTGAAACAATAACCGATTGATCATCACTTGCCGAGGCAAACAGGGGATAACGTAAATGGAAGGCCACACTACGTACGGCATTCTTATGCAGGCGCATTGTTTGATATGGTTTTGTCGAAAGATCCAAATCAAACCACAATATTTTCTTGTCATAGGTTGAGACCAACAAATTGTCACCTTTGGGATGTATAGACATGCCAGAAATCCATTTGGAGTTGGTAAGTAATTTTTTGATGAGTTCTTGTTTAACCAAATCGTAGATGCGAACATTGTGCTGAGTCTAAACCATAAAAAATTAAATTACATTTCTTTCTGAATAAGCTAGTTTTAAATATGATTTACTCACCGCCACAAACAAACAGGGTTTAATTGGATGGAACAAAACACACTGAATAAGACCCTTGCTCTTGGCAAATGGTATTTGTGATCTACGCTTAGACAGCTGATGGATAATTGCTGACCGATTAGCACCTTCAGGCATTACACTGGCTATATAATCACCACGGCCATGCCAAGTGACCTGACGTATTGGTTTGAAGTGAGTAATAACCAAACGTACACCCTTTTCTTGCTCGGCAGCATCAGCAGTGGCCCATTGGACGGCTGTCTTAATACGTTCACTTTCCAAACTATCGATTTGTGGAGCTTCCGCCAGTAAATCGTCCGTTTTCTTAACCAACATTTTATCACCAACTTTAGGATTGATGAGCAACAGGCGATTACCCGAGGCAACAGCAATAATGGACAACTTGGCATTGGGACACCATGCAACACAACGTACAACATCATCGGTTTCAATGGTTCGTATACAGCGACCCGTGGCAATTTCCCAAACTGAAAAAATGAAAAAGAAAATGAATCTCATCTTTTTGGAAATATTAGACATTTCTTACTTTTAACTGTCTTATCATCTGAACCAGATACCATATATTCGCCCTTGGGTTCCACACTAACGGATCGCACCAAATCCGTATGACCTTTGTATATCAAACTTTCAACCGTAGGGAATGGTTGCAGATCTTTAGGTGATGGCAATTTGGGTATCAAATATTCAGCATCAATGTTCAATTTGACACGTCTAGTTCTGGGACACAGATAAAGATCCAGACAACGTAAGAAACGTTCACGCAAGTAACGAGGATAAGCTGGAACCTCACGCAATGAGCGATATTTCTGTGGCATAAAATGAAGCTTACGCTTGTGAGGTTCATCTTTCAGCTTCAACCATTCCTTTTGTTCCTTTTCATCGAACAAATATTCTGGTGGTGGATTGTAGGATTCTGCATGTCCAGGCAAATCACGTTTAGGAGCCGAAACAGGATCATGTATGCGTCTCATTTGCTCACGACTTGTATCGGTTTCCCACAACATGTAGAATTTGGGGCCACGTTTGGCTTGTTTCTCTTTTTCCACCTCTTCCATGGTCTTCATCCAGCCCATTTTCAGAGCATGCACCATACGACCTATTTTCTTTTTCTCCGACACAGATGGAAGGAAAGACCTCTTGTGATCGGGTACATTTTTAATGGGCATTTTCTCAACTTCTGATGTGAACCATTCAATCCAGGGTTCATATTCATTATGTTCGGGATTTGGAATACGCGCTGAATTGATACGTTTTATCAATTCAATGTCGGCATCGGTCAATACAACTTCTTGGCCTGTTTGTGGATCCTTAACAGTTCTCCAGAAGTTGGGATCTTCAATCTTGCGTAGGAAATCATCAATTTGATCACCCTTTGGTGGTTTAATAATTTTCTTGGCATCCCAATCATAGCCAATGTGTTTGTACTCATCATACCAATGCATGGGAATATTGCCCACAGTATTTCGTATGTCTTCTTCATCAGATGTATCGGAATTTTCATATTCATTGTACTGTTTGGTTGAATTGTTTTGGGTTTTAATTCCTTTTTTGTTTTTATCACCTTTGTTGAGTTCATTGTTAAAGTCTTCCAAAGCTTTTGCTGGATTGGCTTGATTGGAGTTCAGGGTTTTAGGTTTCTTTTCCTTCTTTTTCACAACTTGTTCATCGCCATTATCTTTTGCTTTTTCTTTTAGATTTTCCACTTCATCTTCGCTGTCTTCTTGCTCCGCTTCATTTTCCTCATCGTCAGCATCCTCCTCCTCCTCTTCTTCTCCAGATATGTCCTCAATATCTGCTTCATCTATGCTGTCTTCTTCATCTGAATCCCCTTCCACATCTTCATCATCTTCCTCACCTTCACCGGCTTCTTTCCCCTTGATACCTGTGAAATTGCCCTCATCATCACTTTCGAATTCCAAGACACTGTCGTCGGAATGATAATTTTGTTCTATGCCCTCATCATCAGTACTGTCACCATCCACTTCATTGACTTTCTGCAATAGATCCTCCTAAAAGAAATCGAGACCACATTTCAGTTCTATTGTTGGCTGTTTGTAAAGCAAACCTACCTCCTCATTTGCACTGCTGTCTTCAGCTTCATCACTAAATTCCTCCTTGGATTTCACCACAATTTCTTTCTTTTCCTCTGTGGCTTTTCTTTTATTTGATTTCTTTGCCATTTTTCTTATAAATTTAAAGGGAAAATTCCAATTTCTACCGATGTGATTGTGAAGTATTTGGAATAAACACACCGCACGTGTTGTCACTAGGGCTACACAAGTCGAAAATTGACTAATCGATTTATCGATAAAAATGATTGTCATAAGGAATAATCGAAAAATCAAATTAATTGCATTTTTGTGACCGTTACAGTACGATTATATATATGAGGGTTAACCCACTGGATTTGGATTTAAATTGTCATATCCATTACTTTTACTTCAAATAAATCCTCTCAAAGAAGGTTAACCCTACAAAAAATTCTAACGTAAACATGGCATTATTTTTGTGAAGAGAAAAATAAATTTTTCAAAAAATTATCTTTCTGGCATAACTTACTGATACAAATTTCTACCATGGCGCCAAAATAAAATGCTACAACAATCAGATAAAATGTCAAATGTGTTTACTTTTTGCTTATCTTCCCTACTGGTACTCCAATCACAATAAGTGTTTTTATAACTCTTCTAGCTGAACTACGGTAAATCCAGGACCTGCTGATTGAAGCATGGCACTTGGGATGTGATATGCCGTTAATTGTATTTTGCATGCTGACATCGATATAAACATTGTAAAACAATTGTACGATGGTTATAAAGGACTGTGTCTAGGGTTGCCAATACAAATAAAATTGTCTTTTTGGCAAGGGCGTCTAAATTATCTCTTTTTTCGTTCGTTTTCAACAACATAATTGGAAAGTAAAAAAAGAAAAAAACAGTCAATATGACAAATCAAGAAAATTCCTGTGTAAACAGAGTTATTATATCCTAAGTCACAGTGTTGTGTAAGGTATAATAATAAAAGTCTTACATATTTTGATTAATAGTAATACAATTAAAAAATAAATTAGACAAAAAATGTATTTCCTTTTATTATTTTTATACTTTTTTATAACAAAGAAATCCAAAAAAGAAATATTTACTTAAGATAAATAAGTTTTCTGTCTAACTTTACAAACAAAATGAAGATTTTGCTTCGTGTTTTAACACGCTTATATATTGTATAAAATAGTATTGTTGTTGTTGTCTTATGAAGAAAACCAAATGGCATTTTGAATATAAAAAATGCACAACTCAATAAATCCTCTATCGTTTTCTTTTTCCTGGATACATGAACACTAGGATAATGAATCATAAAAACTGGTTCGAAATAATAATAAAAGGTTATTGTCATGGACTTAAATCTATTAAGTATTTAATAAAAAAAAATCAATAGTTATAATGAAAGCTAAGATGTAAACCGTAAAATGCTAAACAGCCATGCATACAGAGTGTGGGTTTGTTTGTGTGTGCGTACGTGAGCGAGTATATTTGGCGAGGTGATGGTGAAATGTATCCCCTGTGGATTGTGGGTAATTATCTGCCCATAATTGTCATTTCATCTGCTGCTGCAATTTCATCGGTTGGTGCTTTCGAACCTTTCTTTTTGCCGGAATACCAAATGAATAAGAAGCCGGATACCAGATTGACGCCAAATGTAAACCAGGCAAAGAACACGCCGTAACCATAACTGAAAATAGTAGAACAAAGTTATTTTAAAGTGTATACATTTAAAGTAAGAAGTAGCAACAACTTACGTCAATTCAGCTCCATCGGGATAGCTGTAGAACAAATGTTCCTTTGTATAATCCACGGAGGCAAATAAAACTTGCAAAACCACCATCGCTGTGGATGCTGCCACCAAATCTATACCACCAGCCAGACGTTTAAACATATAACGGGGATTTTGGAAGGTATAGAACGAAAATACGGAACCCAATATCATCACGAATACGGTAATGCAGGCAAATGAAGCTTGAGAGCGAATGTAATCTGTAATTAAATGAGAAATTGTTTAAAAACAGTTGTAACGGATTCGAGGAATTGCTGTTAAGGAATAAAAAATATGTGGAATTTAGTAGTCCAGTTTCACTTACCCATCAAAGTCCAATCAAATCCTGGATCCATGCGCTCTCCAGCACTGGGGAACATATCAATATATTTACAACGACCTAAAGGAGAACATTTAGCAATTACAAATTTATATATTTACCCAATTTTAAACGTATCCAACTTACTGTTCGCCTCATATTTATAATATTTTGTTGGTTTGTTATTTTTAGGTGGCTTTGGTGGCACCAACTGTAATATAACCCGTTCTTCGTCCAACACATAGGCGGGAAGTCCCAGTTCTTTGGCATATGGCCAGAACAAACGCGGAACATAGGCCCGTTCGTTCCAACCCTTAAACATTGCCATTTGTGCCGTCTCCGGTATGACAAAATAATAATTTGTTGAATTCACCACAACCGTTTGCAGAGCTTTACCGAATATATTCTTACTTATGATACCCTTTACATCGACAGGATCAATTATTCGAGGCTTGGCATCTATGGCTATCAGCTCGTCCCTGGCTTCTTTAGTCGATAACACCAAACGATAAAATTCATCTTTGAATTTATTAAAAGAGGCACGATCATCCAGAACCCAATGGGCAAACATACGCTGTCGCGCCTCTTCTGTAAAATTCTCCAATGGCATATGCACCTCTGATTTACTAAAATCCTTAATAAAGTCCAAACGTGAACAATTCCTTTGGGCTTCACGCAGTGTTGTGGGATTTTGGATGGCGAATGAGGTAAAGTTTCGCACAACATCGGCATCTTTAAGGGGTGAGGGTATAACTGTATTCCGACAAAATCTCCATAAACCGGAATGAGAGGACATAAAGAAACGTCTTGTCTCGGGTATAAAAATGCCTGCAAAGAAGAAAAAAATAGAAATTCAAATTTAAACACGAGGGGTTTACATTCAAGTACTTTATCATATTAAACTGCTCTAATATAACGCCCTATTTTAGAACATCCAAGATGGCAAAAAATGTAACTTCTATAACCGACTTTTCCATTATTATATCGAAAAAAGAACAAGACGAGTAGATTTTTGTAGGTTCAGGAAAAAAGCAAATTTCTATGGAGTAAACTTAAAGCATGTTTACATATATATATAAATTTCAATTGTCAATTCCATGACGCAATAACAAGGCGTTCCTACAAATTTTAAAATCCAGAAAAATTCCAAAAAAAATTTAGACTTTTTGGCTATTGTTTATTTTTTGTTCTGTGATTTCAATCACAATAATGCCTTTTGACATACAGTAGTTAGCTGGCTTGACGTATACGTCAATTGTGAAATTTAGATTATTATTTTGGCATAATGGTAGAAGAATGCAGGTAGATGTATCGACGCTTGGAAACATTGGTATACCAATTTTTACAAAATTTGAATCATTTTTCATTCAAAAATTTCACTTTCAAAATTGGTTGATATTTCATTGTCCCAGCAGCTGCTTCGATGCGACTACCTGTATTCTTTTACCATGGTTCATAAAAGAGCTTACAGCGCGTTTACAGGCGATTAGCCCTTAGACAATCACAATAAATTTGGCTATGAAAAATATACGCTGCATTATTGCAAACATTGCGGTTAAACTAATTCTTCCCATTTATCTGGACAGGTCATCATTTTATACGGTGTAAACCAATCAGCCATTTTGCACATTGAATTTAATTTATGGCGATGTTTTAAACAAGTCACACCCACAACAAAGAATGGTTAACAAAAGAAGGCCTTCAGCAAACGCTGCTGTCATTGAACTCTCAGGTATTTAATTAATGGATTCCTCACCGCCTTCTTTATACTAAACGAATAGGCTCAATTCAATATACATTTTCTTAAAATATTATTTACAAGGATGATTTCGGGCGGCGAACAAAATGAATGACCAGTGATCCATTTAAACTGTCAAATTTTATTTTGACTTTAACGTCAAATATTGTCAACAAGTACATTTGTTTATTTATTGACTAGCCATGACAAGAAGAAGCATTTTGAATAATCACAGAAGAATCGAATGGCATAGAATACATTCTTGTGAATGTGTGTATTGGTATTCTGAGGGACATACTTTTTAAATGTTTTCTAGCATTTACATATGGAAATGTTAATTGGAGAAAAAACTTAAATACATTTCCCACAACAGTCTGTAAGTTTCTTGCACGTGTGGAAAGGGCGGGCAAATGAACAACTTCCAGTAACAATTTCCAAAAATTACCAACTAAATGAATACTACTTTTGTATCATGATGCAATAATAGGGTGTTAGACGAGATCAGATGACATGTCAAAATTGGCTTACGCTTTGTTCTTTCACAAAACATTTTTTGACAACTCGTCTAGATGATCAGCTGCGGTTAATGGAGTACCTATTGATTGTGTTAATTGTATGTAACTCTTTTTAAAGTACTTTTACACTGAATGTAAATTGTCAATTCAAGTCCATATACGTCAAATGAATTCTCAGAATGTAGGCTAACCTAACCAACATCTATAATGTAAACATACTATTGATTTTTCAAATGTTGTTATATAATCATAGCAAATAGAGGTAAACTTATTTGCTAAAATGAAAGGTTGCCATAACTTTTCTGACGTATCGACTTCGTCATTTTTTAAATAACTAGGTTGGCTTAATTCGATTTTGGCTCTACGCTCCGTTGTTCTTTTCCGAAGAAGCCAGACGATGACTTAAGGTAAAAATACATTAAACGCTTTTTTTGGCTGGCTTAAGTCCTCGGCTGGCTTCTTTGGAAAAGAACATAGAAGCGTAAGGCCAAAATCGACCTAAGTCAACCTAGTTATTTAAAAAATGACGAAGTCGATACGTCAGAAAAGTTATGGCAACCTTTCATTTTAGCAAATAAGTTTACCTCTATTTGCTATGATTATATAACAACATTTGAAAAATCAATAGTATGTTTACTTTACGAAGAAACCAGTCAATGACTTAAGCCAGTCAAAAAAGCGTTTTATGTATTCTCAGCCTCAGTCATCGGCTGACTTCTTCGGAAAGGAACAAAGGAGCGTAGAACCAAAATAGAACTAAGTCAACCTAAAGACCTAAACCTTTAGCGTTTTAAGTATTCTCACTTTTACTCTGAAAATTTTCTGCAATCAAATTAGGGCCAATTCGACTGAAAGTTCGGGATAGCGATCTTCGACCAACATTATAACAAAACAAGCCTCGATATTGTCGATCTTCACACTTTTGTTGGTCCCAGCAAAATGATTTTTTAAGCAAAATTTAACCCGTTGTAGAATTTAGAGATTAAATTCATGCATTTGACAATATCTCATTGCCAAAATCTATTGTTTATTCACAAATCAGAGATGGGAATCTGTTTTCTAGGCAGTGAAATTTGACAGGGTAAATTACAGAAAATCCAGAGATGGAAATGCTTATTTGAAATGATTTTACCTTCTTAATTTTACTATGATTCAACCACTCCAAAATCAAGTATTAAGGTGTAAGTACATAAGAAGCTTGAAGTCATGGCTAGGCATATTTTGTGAGATTTCATAAAGGGATTACAGAGCCGCACTAAAATCCTGCCGTCGTTTTCCTTTATAATTTCATATTATGACTTCAAGCCTTTTATGTACTTGCACCTTTATATTATTTATGATGCTAATGCCATGTTTATTCTAGAAATTTTTGTAGGGTTAACCTACTTCAAGAGGATTTTTTGAGGTATTGGTAATGGATATGACAATTTTCATTCAAATCCTGCGGGTAAACCTTCTAATATGTAAACGTACTGTAATATTTTACTAAATACATAGAAGTATAAATAAAGGACAAGACAGAGTCAAAATTTGGCAACCCTGTGGACAAACCTCTGCTGATGATATCATAACAACATATGCTTTGTTCCAGAACCTGCAAGAATCTACTAGATTTGCCATTTTATTCGATATCATAAAGGGAAAATCGTTTGTTTCGTTTTCTGTAATTGTGCCGCTACTCTATGTATTGTAGACACAAACCATTTGCTCAAAATGCATTTTGTCTGGTCTTTGCCATTTCAGGTCATTGATTTTAGTTTTGTGTTTTAATTTATATTCCGTCTTGACTTTTATACCCACTAAAAGGAATAAAAATGCCAGAATATTTGCTCGGAAATTTTTGCCAGCTGTACGCCCATATTTAAGGAAGTACTCATGGTAGAAGAATATAGGTAGATGCATCAACGCTTGGGAACATTGATATGTCAAAATTTTTAAAATGTTTTATGAAAAATAAGTGGATTTTTAAATGTTTTTTTTTTTATACGAGGCAAATCAGAGGTTGTTATAATATGAATTTTTCAACAATTTTTATAATTTTTCATTCAACATTTTCAATTCCAAAATCGGTTTGACAGTTCCTGTATTCTTCTACCATGGAAGAACTACAGAATATAAATTTGACAATGAAGAGACATCGAATAAAAATTTTTTAATTTGTATGACTGCATGAGATTACCTTGGTAATAGTAGATAGCATGCTATCGTGGTAAAAGAATACAGGTAGATGCAGTAACGCTTGGGAACATTGATATGTCAAAAATGTTTATTTGTTTTTTTCCAAATATAAGTAGTAGTCAATCGGAGGTTATTATGATATACGTTTTTCAAGATTTTTAAAAATTTAAATAATATTACATTCAATATTTTCAATTCAAAAATTGGTTTGACAGTTCATTGGTCCAGCAGCTGTGTCAATACCTCGTCCCCGCGACAAGAACATGTTCGTTTTCCTTTTATCTGTCAATGGAAATTCCACTATATGCATACAATATGTACACACATTTCTTTTGATATAATAATGACATCGCAAAAGACAAAGACATATTAAAAATGTCATCAATTTCTATACAAAGTGAGTGATTTACAAGCCAAAATAGACATAAACTGAATGCGGGACATGTGTCGTTGTTATAAATTGGTCGTCATGCTTCCAGAAATCCCATAAAAATGCTTTCGAACAAAGGAAGACATTATGGCGAAGAATAGACAAAACATAGGAAGATTCGCGTGGGTGGGCCAACACCCCACTCGGGAGCATTCAGCCTGCCCTCCCCTAGCCCTCTTGAATTCGAAATGATGAAACAAATCTTTTAGAAATATGACAATATTTATACCTATTTAGTATCCAATTAACAGAAAATTAATTCATAACATCTTGTTCATATAAATATTAGAGATTTTATTTAAATTCGACAAAAATACTTACCACCAGCTCCCGATATGATAATCCAATGATCTGTGGCAATGGCAATAATCCATGTGAGCAGTGACAGAACCATTAAACAACTGCAGCAGAATAATACACGACGCTGGAACATGTAAGCTTTTAGCAGAGGTTTGCGGGATTCATCGCGACCAATGGTCGAGGCTCCCGACACTTCACGTCTTGGCACCATAGACGGCTTCATTATGGTCTCATGCGTTGTTTAACTTTAGAATCATAAAAAAAATAGAAACAAACAAATTCAGATGACACTTTAACGGAAGTAAGACAATGTCAAGAAAAAAAATTTAGAATTGCTGTCAGATGTGTGTCGATTTTCGCGCGCCAAAGTTTTCGAGAGTAAAACATAAAAATACCTATCTTTTTCTTAATGTTTTCTTTGCTGTGGTGGTCATTTACAATAATTGAATAGCACAGAATGACAGACAGAATGTCAAGAGGAAAACATGATGTTTTAAAGAAAAATGTTGGCTGATCACTCGTCTGCCAATTTGTTTTGTTGTTGATCATTTCTTAGCCCTAACGCGCAGTGAGACCATCAAACTTACATACCGACGACATACATGGCTATTAAAAATGGTAGTTTTTTTTCATATTTTAAACAATGGACACACACATACGAAGGCTAGTGGGCCGTTCTGTCTACAAGCAGTTCGCTAAAAAGACAAATTTTCATATCTTGTATTTTAATTTATTTAATTCATTTGTTCTAATGACGATTTCTCGCTGGGTGGGATTTAGACTTCGGGTGAATTTATAAAAATATCTATCGATTTGTTTGTTTTGCTTGCATCGGCATAAAAAATACCCTACAATGAAGTGTTTTATTGAGAAGTGTTATTTTTTAATTCATTCTATTTGGAAATGTGGGAATTTAGCTTAATTTAATTGGTTCGATCCACTTCCATTGGGATTAATAGATCTAGCGGGTTAACCTTGCTCTTCATCCGGATTAACCATAACAATTGTTAAATCACAATAAATCTTACACAGTCAAATGAAGGATACAGTTATTGTGAATTTCCAATTATGACGTTTAACCCGCCTAAAGGTTTAATATGTAAACGCTCCGTAATAAGTGGGTATAAATAGCGCTCAGCTGATGTTTGTTTACGTATACCTAAACAACCATGGTAGAATCAAGAAGGTAGCCATGCAATCATATGTTTACAATTTTTTCAAAATTATTCATTTGACATCATCTCCTTGTCAAAATTTATATTTATAAATCCATCAATCCATAAATCAGAGATGGGAACCTTTTTTTATTCAGTCCTTTTTGAAATGGCTTAACTTTCTTAATTTTACTATTGGTATGTTCCATAACGGTTATCTGAGTAAAATGAAAAAAAAAATGCATAAACGCTTTTTGGAAAGGAGCTGTAGGTTGACTTAATTAAATTTCGGACCATAATTTATACATTTTAAGCCTACGCTCCTTTTTTCTATGTTGAAGAAATTAGCCTGTCAAAAAAGCTTTTTATGTATTCTCACTTTTATAGCACGTTTGCATAAATAAACTCTTCTTGGCTAAACCCTCATAATTGATCATTCACAATAATATTAATGAATGTTTTCCATAGTCAACATTTTTTGTGATTAGCTAATTACCAGGGTTAATCCTGATGGAGATTTAAGCTGCTATCAGACGATATGCAAAGTGCTGTCACTTTTATTATCCATGTGTATGTGTAAAATAGCCATTTTACATGTGACTCATAATTCTTGCTATCACACATTTGCATTATTTTTTTATTTCCTTTGGTACCATTTTGATTATATTTATTTTCTAAAAAAAATATAATACTTTATGGATAAATTTTTACCGCAAATTTAAATTTATATTTTTTCACACAACAAACAAAACAACACTTTTGATTAAATTATCGGGCTATTCCAGAACTGCAAGAATGTAAAAATTTTTACAAACAATAAGCCCTTTATGATATCGGAAACAATTGTAAAACGGATCATATATGTTTCCCATTAAAATAAGGCTTGCTGTGTTCGAAAAAGTACATATGTAATTTACTTAATGTATTTCACAACTGAAATGTCGTTCATGTATCACACGATGTGTGCAACTTCCACATATGGGAAAGTTTAAACTGCATATGTAAAAAAAATATGATAACAGCTTAAGGGTGTATCTAAACTTCAACATATGTACCGCTATTTTTTTTTTTTTTTTTGCGAAACACTCCCATAACTCGAATGCTTTCGGAAAGGCGTTGCTTACTCTTTGCTCATTACTTTCCTTTTTAATCTCTGGATCCACTTTATATTTACATAAATAAAGTGAGCGGGATTTATATCATCCGTGGTAGAAAAATACAGGTAGTCGTATCGACACAGCGGCTGGGACGATGAACTGTCAAATTAAGTTTAAAAGTAAAAATTTTATTCAATTTTTAAATATTGTCAAAAAAATTTTCCAAGCGTTGATGAATCTACCTGCATTCTTCTACCAAAGTACCATCCTAGGATATATCATTAATCAAATGTATATTCTACAACGACACAAAGATTATTAAATCTATAATCAAATCATTCAATCATCTTAGAAAAATAATGTATTTAAAGTAATCAATTTTTGTTCTCAATAAATTTGCATTTATTTATTCTTTACAAAATTTACGTTAAGCGGCAAAGAACAATCAATTTGTGGTGTTTTGAACTCGATTTAAGCTCGACGAAAATATTAAAATGTGCCTAGTTTCACACAAATTGTCTGGACAAACGGAAGGACGTGGCTACATCAAATATTAATGTACTGAAACAGATTTCGTCTAAAGGGAAACGCATTTTGGCTATATCAAATTATACCCATAAAGGTGAGAATACCTAAAATGATTATTTCACTAATTTAAGTCATCGGCTAGCTTCTTCGGAAAAGAACAAAGGATTTTAGGGCCAACATCGAACTAAGTCAACCTAATTAATGTTTGTAAAGTATTTCTCTGAGAGCAGTTTTTAACTGTTTAAATTATCATTATGGTGAAGAGTTCGATTTTTTCTTGATTTGTCTCCTTTTCAGAATCAGATTTTTTAGAACCACACAAGTTCTCCATATATTGTGTGTAGGGTATTATGCAGACAGCCAGCGAAAATCTACGAGCCCGTTTTATTTAGATTTGTATGTTTTTTGTTATTTCATTTGGTTTTCATTGTTCTAATGTGCTTTAATTCATTTTCATTTGACACGTTTTTTTTCGCAATTTAACAACAACAAATTATCTACGAAACTGACAAAAACTGCCAATACTGTGATATTTTTATTTCAGCCAAATCCACGCTGTTTGTCGCTTCAAAGTTTTTTGGTTTGTATTTTTTTGAAAACACTTTTAAAAACAACAAATGCAGAGTGAAGAATTTGAAAATTCACATATTTTGAAATAGCTGTCAAACTTTTTGAGCGTTTCGTGGAGCACCAATGACATTGTTAAATGAGCATATTTTTAATCATAAATTTAAACTTTTGAAAAAAAAAAAACATTTTTTAACAAATTCTTGAGATTTTAAGAATATATATTTTTGTTTTTTTTTTTATTTCGCATCGAATGTTATTTTTATTATTTTCCTTATTGTTTTTAATATTTGTTCCGCATGTAAATTTTACACTAGAATTATAATGATGCTTTCCCATTGTTGTTGTTGCGTTTTTTTGTCATAGAATGATTTATTATAACTTTTGGGTTCTCGTTGTATTTATTTTTATGAGGGTTGAGTCCCAGACAAACCAAAAAAAATAGACACTAAACTAATAAAATTATGCAATATATTTGAAAACACCTTTCGATAATATCCGCTATTTTTTATATCACTAACTTTCAAATTAATTAAGATATTTTTTATAATTTTTTAATAAATTTCTTTGACTATTTAAATTTTATTCATTTCTTTCGCGTATTTATATTTCCTTCTATATATATTATTTGATAAGATTTTCAGATTCACATTCCGCTCGACCGGGCACTATTTTGCTTTAATTCAATTCTTTTGTCTTTTGATATCGTGTTGTCAAAGACATTTTACACTCCTCACTCACGTTCTGTTCTGCTTTACTATTCGAAGACGTCGCCTAACCAATTGCTACTGAATGTTAGGCCACTGCCAGACAATATAATAGGCTAGAAAACCCCAGCAGCCATCAGTTAGGTGTATGAAATACATATTTGTTGTGTTTTCCTCATTATTTCTGTTGGGGAGAGATTCGCCAGCATCATGTTGTTAGCCATTGGCCAAAGTAATATCTGCCAAACATATAGACATGAACAGATTTTCCTTAGAATAGACTCAACTCTCACACCGAGAAAATGTTCGCTACAGCAAATGTGGCAGGAAGGAGAGCAATTAGGTCCATCTTAATTATACACAAATTGATTGTTCTTTTCCGCTTAAACGGTCAATTGTTGGAAACAATGATGAAAAGCAAATTTATTGAGAACAAAAATTGATTCGTTTTTAATGTATTCGTTTTCTTAAGATTGATGGAATGATTTGTTGATTCGGTGATAGATATTATGAGATTTTTGTCCAAATGCCCTCGAAATTACATGAAAAATTATTTTTTTTTGTATTTGTTTCTGGAAAAAATTTTATTAGTGATGTATGATATTTTTAAAGTACGCTTAAGGTGAGAATACTTAAAAGGTTTTTTTCATTGGCTTAAGTCATCGGCTGGCTTCTTCAGAACAGAACAAAGGAGCATAGGCTCAATATCGAACTAGGTCTGCCTAAAACTCCTTTGTTCCTCTACAAAGAAGCCAGACGACTACTGAAGCCAGTCAAATAAGCCTTTTATGTATTCCCACAGCAGTGAATGTAGACTCAGATAGTTTCATAGATTCAATGGGTTTACCGCGTGTGTTTACATGCACTCTTATGGTATGAATACATAAAGCGCTTATCCGGCTGGCTTCTCCGGAAATGAGAAAAAGGAGCCTAAGGTCAAAATCAAACTAAGTCAACCTAAAACACCTTTGTTCATCTACGAAGAAGCCAGCCACATATGCGCTTTATGTATTTCCACCCTTAGAGAACGTTTGATCGGCTGGTTTCTTCATTAAAGAGCAAAGGTCTTTAGGTTGACTTCGGCCCATATTTTATACTTACTCACCCTACTCTTCTTTTTTTTACAAAAAGCCAACATAAAGGTGAGAATACATAAAACGCTTTTTTGACTGGCTTAAGTCAACGACTGACTTCTTCGTAGAGGAACAAAGGAGTTTTAGGTGAATGTAGTTCGATTTTGGCAGTAGGCTCCCTTGTTCATTTCCGAAGAATCCATCCAAAAAAAAAAAAAACAATTTATGTATTCTCATCTTTAATTATCGGCTGTTTTTTTGCCAGTCAAAAAAGTATTTTGTGCATTCTCACCTTTGGCCCAGCTGATTTCACACATTCTGCCAAATTTATTTATTTATATTTCGAATTTGCTGTCATCATACAAATGGCCTGTCTGGTAGCAGTTTCTTTCTAAAAAATATATATACGGAATTCCTGAATAAACTTGCAAGCAATCAGCTGATTTATCTAAAACGAAGCAGTAAAAAGAAATGAAGTTCACACAAACTTAAAATGAGCCATAAAACTAAACAATTAAGGTGAGAATACATAAAACACTTTTTTGACTAGCTTAAGTCATCAGCTGGCTGAAACGTCTTGATTTCTGTTTTTTTTTATTACTATGCTTTTGTGATTTGTTTCGTATGCTTTGCTTTATTTTTTCTCTTCAAATCTACAAATTCGCCACAAAAAAGATAAACAAAGGCGAATTCTTTTTCGATTCAGATGAAATGTTGACAGTTCGAAGAAGCAAAACAGCTGATTTGAAGCCAATTCCCTAATAAATGGGCCTTGTCATGGTAGAAAAATTCAGGTAGTCGCATCGACACAGTGAACTGTCAAACCAATTTTGGAATTGAAAATCTTGAATGAAAAATTATTGAAATTTGTAAAAATTTTTGAAAAATATATATCATTACAACCTCCGATATGCGTCGTATAGGAAAACATACAAAAATCTACTTATTTTTTGACAAAACACTTGGCATATCAATGTTCCCAAGCGTTGATGCATCTACACATATTCTTCTACCATGAGACTTGCTTAGAAGTATAAAAATGCTGCATGGTAGAATTAAGAAGGTAAAGTCATGCAATCATATGTTTACAATTTTTTAAAATTATTAATTTGACAAGATCTCATTGCCAAAATGTTTATTTATAAATCCATTGTACATACACAAATCAAAGATGGTAACCTGCTTCCTATGCAATGAAATTCGATATAGTAAATTACAGAAAATGCAAAGATGGGAATGCTTATTTGAAATGACTTTACCTTCTTAATTTTACCATGAGTATCAGCATGAGCAATTACGAGTCTAAGTGTTTTTGTTGTTATTCGAATGCAAAATGTAAACAAAGTCTTAGCGAAATCATTTACGACTTTGGATAAATAAAAATATATGTGTAAACACAATGTTAGCTGTAAAAAGCTTATTGTGATTGAAAGCCAAAGATAAACAAAAGTTAAAGAAATTTAAGGTTTCCTTTGATTAATATTAATAGAAATAAAAACTTTTGATTCAAATTAACAGTCCAATTTTTCCTTGTGTAAAGCAGTCTTGTGTTCTCCCCACAAGAATAAACATCTTTTTCATCAAAACAATGGGTTGATCTCCTCATTACTACAGCTACTCTCAATAATATTAATGTTGGGGTGTACTAGAGAGAGAACAATAGCAAATACCCGATGCACCTTACGCTCTCTAATGTTGCTGTTGTTATTTTGATGTTAGTTTTGTATGGTGTGTTGGTAGAGACGTCATTATTTTATGAGAAAAGGGAATATCGTGCAAATCATTCATTCGCAATGCTTGCCTTGCTTGGATAGAACAACATAAACAACGAGATTAAAATAAATATATAAAAGAAGAAATTCCAAACATTTGTGTTTGCTTATTTTTTTACCAATTGAACGAAAAAAAAAAACTAAAGGAAGAAAAATAAACGCACATACACCCACACGTACGAGTGTTTATTTTTCCTTTATTTTCAAGACATTTGTTGTCTGTCGGGTCGGGTCGGATCGTCTTAAGAATAGCATGTGTGTGTATGTGTGCACTACATCATCTCAGCACCTTTCGCGTTTTTATTTTCGTTCGTGTTCACTTTCGACCACCAGACACACACACAACGAACACAGCAGGTGTCACTTTGTAGTTTATAAATAAAACTGACATATAAAACTTTCAAATAAAAATTTTAAAAACAGATTTTTTTTCGCTTTCTGTAACAGGTAAATCTGAAATATCTGAACGTATATCTGCTGACATTGTGTTTATTGCAAAGAGAGATCAGAGATCTATAAAATCTTTAGCATGATTTTCATTCTGCTGGCTTGCTGGCTGACTGACTGGCAAATGTTTTTTTTAAATTTCTGTTGGACATGTGTCAAAAAGATGTGCGAATTTCAGAATTTTCATCGAATATTTCCCATTCGCAACGGTTTTGTGCTTTGTCGCAGCGGTGGCCGTTATATTTTAGTGGGTGGGCGTTAATATGGAATGCTAATGTGCCTTTCTTTATTTATAACAATAAAAATGACCAGAATTTCCAATTAGTATTAATACCAAAAATAAGGAAAGCACATACGAGAAAATAGAAAACAAATACACTTGGATTTATAGGCACAAAGAACTTGTCGCATATTACACGATGTAACAGAATTTTTGTGAGAAAAATTCTCATTATAATCAGCCAGAATAAATTTGAAATTTCTGTTTTTGTTGTTGAGTTTATATCCGAAATTTTAATGTCTCCATGCTTTTGGCTATGCATTTAAACAAAAATCAGCTGATCGGTATTTATATCCTATCCTGTATAGATACATAAGATTTACACACTGGACCTATTAAACTAATAAAAAAGTAAGCATATCCATTTCTGCATTTTCTATAATTAACGGTATAAAATTTCATTGAATAGAAATCAGGTTTCCATCTCTGATTTGTGTATATACACTGGATTTATAAATTAATGTTGTCAAATGCATAATTTTGAAAAAATTGCACGAATCGAATACGGCAACCCTTTTCTAAAGTACTCGACCATGTCATTTTTCAAATCAAATTTATTTTCATATCTGAAATTTTTACGTATGACAAGTGGCATATTTTACAAAAATAGTAAATAATAGATTATTTTCGGGGTTCCATATCTTAGGAAGACGAATTTTATTTTCTGTGAAACAAAATTCCATCATTCCATAATCATACCTTACATGACTTATGGGGCTAACATTTTAGTCTTCTGTTTAGATTATATTCTGACTTGACTTTCATCTCACCTTTTAGCGGTTTGTCTGAAAAATCCAAATTTCTTTTGAGCTGAACTCTTTAATTTAAGAAAGAACTACAAAATTTCAATTTGACAATTAATGGACATCAAATAAAAGATTGTGATCGTATGATTGCATGAGATTACTTTTGTTATTGTACCATGCATTCGAAAAAGACTTTTATGGAAATTCACCTTAACCTTCAATACTGTAAAGGAACTTTCAGGCTTACATACGAAAATATTTACCCGGATTAACCATGATAATTGAATAGTCACAATAATGGCAGAGAAATTCAGGTAAATGTACCAACGCTTGGGACCACTGGGATTCTAAAATGCTCTTTTATTTTCAAAGTATACAGATCTTTATATATTTTATACAACGTCAATCGAAGGTTATTATAATATGCATTTTTCATCAATTTCTACAAATTTGAGTAATTTTTCATCCAAAATTTTCAATTCCAAACTTGGTTTGACAGTTCATTATCGCAGCAGCTGTGTCGATGCATCTACCTGAATTCTTCTACCATGGTCACAATAAATTTAAAATGTATTTTCCATAGTTAAAATTATTGCGATTGGTCAAGGTGATGTTCTTTAAGGTGACTGAACTACATATTAAATGACACATTAGGCATGTCTGGTTATTTTCTTAAGAGAGGAAGGTAGTTTTATTTTCCAGCAAGAATTTGCAAGCTCTCAGTAAAATAACTGTCAAAATTTCTCTCTGGAACGGTTCTCTTTTTTGTAGAACATTTGTGTTAACAGACGACTTCCAATAACAATTTGCAAGAGTTGTTAGAAATTTTAGGGGAACCAGACACCACTATTATAAAGGGATGTCAGAGTCACATTTGAATTTTGCCGTAGTTGTCTCATATTGGACATTAATAGAATACAGGTAGATGCATCAACGCTTGGGAGCATTGATATGTCAAAAAAAGTTAAATGTTTTTTCAAATATAAGTAGATTTTTTTATGTTTTCTTATACTACGTCATTCGGAGGCTATTATAATTCGCGTTTTTCAACAATTTTTACAAATTTAAATAATTTTTCATTCAACATTTCCAATTTCAAAATTGGTTTGACAGTTCATTGTCCCAGCAGCTGTGTCGACGCGTCTACCTATATTCTTCTACCATGTACAATACATAGAGTAACAGCTCATGGCAGAGACATGTTAATATAAAAACCACAATTACAGAAACAGATAACAAACAAAAATTTGAACAATCCAAAATTTTGGTTTCAAAATTCTATTCCATGGTTCTTTCCGAAAATTTGCACATTGCTTTAGCGTCAATATTGGTAATTATGTTGTCATGATTTCGTAACAACAGAGTTATTTTCACAGGGTTATTTAGGGGGTAATCTTGAGTGTTTAGATACACCTGATTTAAAATAACTCTGGTTAGGAGAAGATTTATTTTTTAAGGTAAACCTGGTTGAATAAACTGAACTAAGCAATAAATTCTGATAAAGTGGTTTAATCTGGATAAAATTGTATATCTAAACACGCTATTAGAATTCTAATTTAATAAAGTTCAAGAACATACATATATATGTATCTACTTTATATCTGTTACAAACAAAAGGAAAACCTTAATATACACTCCATCTTTGTCGACATGTACTCCTGACATCAACTATATATGTTATCCCCATAAAAACTGTATTACATTGTCACTCAGTCCATGATTTTCAAAAATCCCCACACTGAAACCATAAAAATCACATTTTACACGATGCAAATCGTTCGATCTTATTTACATATTGGTTTGCTAATTTCTCATTTCATCTCACCTTTTAGCGGTGTCGGCAGCCAAGCAATCTCTGGTGTTTGCCTGGCCGCACATTTGCAAAATCCAACTAAAAATAAAATTAATTGAGTATCGTTGCATTGAATGATCCTCTACAAATAAGTGATTCAATCCGCACATTCATTCATTCTCCGCTAATCTTTTTGCTGAGTTTTTTATTGTTGGTGGTGGGTCGTCCGACGGTTGTAAGATCGGAACGAAATCAATGATGAATTTTGGGTTGGGTGGTTGGCTGGCTGGCTGGTTGTTGGACATGAAGAAACACAAAATCGAAAACCAACCACTTGTTGGCCGGCTGGCTGATGATGTTTAATCTCAAATAAAAAAGAAAGAAACGCAAGTGGTAACATAAATTCAATGAGTATCTTCTTGCTCGCTGCCGTTTGTTGATGTTTTGAATTTAAAGTGTGCGAATTTTTTGCTCTGTTTTGAAAAGCAAGAAAAAAAACGGGGGCTGTCTCGCCTGTTTCACTTGAATACTTATAGCTTGTTGAATTGCTTGCCAAAATTTATGAAAATATTAAATTGCTATAGCTTTGTAATTAAATCACGAAATTGAATGTTTATGCTAAAATAATGTTCAATACGAAATAAATCAAAGTGTCGAAATGACTGAAAATATAATATTTGGAATATTTTGTGGAGGGGTGACTTTGCGTGGGCAGCTCATTATACACTGAACTCAATGTGGGTATAATCTATTTCATAAAAATAAATTAGGCACAATATGTCATAAAAATACATTCTTAAAGGCTTTGTCACACAAAATTAATATTTGGCAATGACATCAAGTCTATATTATAAAGTCGGGTGGTTTTTTTTGTTTTGGAAACAACTAAATTAATCATATAGTTTTTATGTTTTTTTAAACATAAGCATTTGGCGTTAATTTTTTTGCTATTCAAAACTAAACAATAGCGCTCATTAGGGGTTGGAGGAAAAAATCCGTACTAAGTAAGTATTGTTGGGAAAATAATTTTTTGCAACATTGGGCAGCTGAAAAAACACATTATAAATTGAAAATAATGTGTCACGATCTCCAAGATGTCAAAATGTCATAATTAAGGCAAAATGACAAATTACAGTAAATTATAAAAAAATTGAGATAAAAAAGATCTAACCTGGTGAAATCTCGCCTAAATTTTCTGCTGTAGAATGTAAATTTAGCGTATATTTGTTAAAGCTGATATCAGACGATAAGGGTTTTACATATGCAGTGTCAAATTTTCCATATGTTGAAGTTGTACACACCGTGTGATATATGGAACATTTCAGTTGGGAAATACATAAGTAAAGTACTTATCATGGTAGAAGAATACAGGTAGTCACATCGACACTGCTGCGGGGACAATGAACTGTCAAACCAATTTTGGAATTGAAAATGTTGAATGAAAAATTATTTAAATTTGTAAAAGTTTTGATAAATACATATTACAATAAACTTCGATTGGCGTCGTATAAAAAAACATAAAAAATCCACTTACTTTTGAAAAAAAAAAACCTTTTAAAAATTTTGACGTATCAATGTTCTCAGGCTTTTATGTATCTACCTGTATTCTTCTACCATGGTTTCTTACGATATCGGACAATTTGTTTTGACAAATCGGCAAGTTTTTGCTGGAAGTTTTCTAAGACAAATAGATTGTTCAGCTTATAAAAATATCCAAGTAAATTTGATAAAAAAATTTCAACGATTGTTTTTCTAAAATTTTATGAGAACATTTCAAAAATGTTAATATTTGATGCACAATTTAAATTTTATTCCCAAAGATATCCGTTATCAGTTACAATCAACAGGGTGTCTCGTACAATAAGGAATATTTCAAAACGAGGTTGCCACATCTATATTAAAAACAAACATAATATGCCTCTGGCAACCCTAACTGAAGATGTCAACTGCTGTGTGAAGCTTCCTTTTTCAAATAACTGTAAACGCGCAAATCTGATCGTTGGCAACGCGTCGTTTTCAGTAGTTCTTTAATTTCTTGATCTTGTGCTTATTCTTTTGCAAATAATTAAATAATTGAGTTTTTTTTTTTCATAATATATAACCGTGTCATTGGAATATAATTGTGTTTTGATCATATCGTTTACTTTTAATCGTTCCGTTTGTTGTTTTGTGTTGGCTTAATTTTATTTGTGTGTAACGCGTCTTCGCCTATTCGAAATAGTTCATTGAATTGTCGTGGTAATTGTTTGTGCGTTTGGAAAAATGTAAAGTGCGTGGTCGAAATTCCTTTGTTCGCGAAGAAATCGAAGTTATGGCTTATATTGGCATGGAATTAAAAGCCTTTTCGTAAAAGCAATATGTCATTAGTCTGTGTCCAAGAGGAATCTTAATCATTAGAGAGCCTGGCATTGAAAATTCCCTGATCGGTCGGTTTTATAAATTAAAAAATTTCATTTGAAGTGTAATTTGTGAAAATTTATTTTCCTGGGCTAACTCTCAATGAACCCATGTCCAAATTTAGTTCATTAAATATATGATTCTGCCCTGGACCCAAGAGGAATCAAAATCATTAGAGTGCCTGGCATTGAAAATTCCAGTGATCGGTCTGTTTGTAAATTAAAAAATTTCAGTTTAAGTGTAATTTGTGTAAATTTATTTTCCTGGGCTTATTCTCAATGAGCCCATGTCCAAATTCAGTTCATTCAATATATCATTCTGCGCTGGACCCTGCGAGGTAAGATTTGCAATAACCTGTTGAATTTCTGGACATCCCTCACATGCATTGCGTATGGCCAAAATACTCCATTCTTTCATTACTGAAAAAGATTACAGTACATCATTAGTTTTAAAATTGTAATTTCAAATCTATAACTTACATGGATTCCTTGCATCCATATTGGTACACTCGAACAATGCCGGCATTAGCTGAGTATCCAAACAATAACCTTTATTTGTGGGATTTTTATATAGCAAATTTGCCACACATCTAACCAACAGGGTTTTCAGTTCATAAGAAATCTCCGCTTGAAAATCTGCTGATATACCAGACGATGGTGCCACTTCTTCCAATTTGGTCATGGGTGAAAAAATATTCTTTTCCATTTCCTTCCCCACCTGGACCAAACATCTCAGCAAACTTGATACATTCAAAAACAAAGAATGATCTGTGGCATAGATTTGTGAATACATTTCCGACCCAGAAGCCAAGGCAATGCATTGCAACAAAGCATAAGCTTCTCGGGGTTTCATGCGATCAACCTCCTTCAAAGACGACAAACGTAAAATGCAATCTGACTTTAGTTTAAATTCTTTTGATATATGCTGCAAGAGGAATGTATGGGCTTGGCCATTGGGGCTATCATGGGACAAATAATTCAAAAGATAATCAAGAAATGCCAGCTTTTCTTCGGTTTCCAACTGCGCATATGATCTCACACAACTGCGGCCATCTTTCACCAGAAATTCTTCAAAAATAAAGTGTAAAAACTCAAACTGCAATGGGGATTTTTGTTCCAGGATTTTTCGCCAAACATTAACTACGGCTTTTAAAACATGCGGATAAGGAAGCAAAGCCTCTCCCCTGCACTTCATGACATTGTAAACAATCATAAGGCCTATGTCCACATTGCGATCCAAAAGCTTTTGTTGATTGCAACACATTTGTAAAATTGCTGCCCCATGATAGTGCCAAATGAGACTTTGTGTTTCCTCATTGTTGACAATAACATTCGCCATCAATTGCCAGGTGATGGTTCTAACTTGTTTGTGTAACTCCTCATCGCCGTAGTAGTCCGTGTTGAAGAGTAAATTATGTAGAAATTCTTGCAAATATTGATTTGTTGCAATTAAACTTTGCACAAGAGGACCTCGAGCACATACATTCCTTAAGTATCTTAAGTTTTCCACAAGTTCAGCATGATTATTTTTGCAGTCTTGTTGTTGCAGGCATAGTAATTTGTTAATATAAACCGTTACTTCTTTTTCCAGTTCACTGTAACACAGAAATTAATTGAAAAATTAGTTAAAATCAATTGCTAAGTGAAAACACGTACCACATTGTAGTCTTCTTCTTGTTCTTTGAGCTAATCATCCAGTGGGAAATGTTAGTACCACAAAATGTAAACAAAATGAGGGTATATGGTTGCCATTGCATACATTTTGAGAAAGTAAGAGGAGATAATTGAAATATGGGATTTATGGAGGGAACCTTTGAACGCCTTACATATAAGGAACATTTGCCATCAAATGCCTTAGTGTTGACCAATTAGAAAAGTGGAAGTTATTTATATTAAATTGGGCATATATTTTATTAATATAGTCGTACTAGTAGAATATGAGCGAGTTGGAAGCCATAAAATTTGTTCAGGACACGAATACATATATTTACTCTCTTTAATGCCGTAGACTCCTATTTAAATACATGATCTTAATTAGTTTGTGCGTGTATGAGTCTTTTTAGTACGCCATTATCACAATTAGAGGCCCTAAGGAGCTCTGATAAATAATTACAAAAGTGGAAGTTATTTATTGGCCTGATAAAGAACAGCAAGGATGTAAAAGTTTTTACTATGATATCGAAAAAAATTGAAAAACTAGTAGATTCTTCCAGATTCTGGAACGGATCATATGTCAGCGAGCTAGAAGCCTATATATACTCGTTTTTATTGCTTTTATTGTTATTTTAGGAAGTCATTCTCCGAATTATAGGTCATAAGGAGCTATTTGTAGGATAATAAATACAATATATTTTTTTCTGTAAAATTTTAGAGTAGCAGTCCTTCAGTTTTCGCCTTTAATTAACCTTTTCCTCCTAATAAAGTAACCGAGTCCTGACAATTTAGAAGCTTTATATTAATTTCTTTTCTAGGTCCCATGAACAAATTCCATCTGCCATATGTGGTTGTTTCAAACATGTCTCCACAAATTTTTCCAATGCATATTTTTCCTCTTATAACTATGCAGATTTATCTAGATCCTTTATCGGCAGGCTTATGAATTGAAACACATACACGCCATTTTTATTTTCATTATGTATTTTTGTAAATATTTGGTATTTTTAAGACAGGATGTATCCTAAATATCATTAGAAATATGTTATCCAATCGTAGTCCTTACAGTATAATTAAAAATAAAATTAGGATTGTTACTATTTGGCAATTAGGCCATAGAACTTATTTTACTATGTCAATCGTAACTAATGCAATGTAGTGTGAGATCTCTGGAGTTCGCCAATACTGTTGACTTGAAGATTTTGTTGGGCACTTGTCTCTCTACCCCCAGAAGCCATTATGGATTCCATGCGATGGCTGGTTTCTCGCATTACGCCAGTGAGTTCGGTGAAGTCGGGCAAATCCAATGTTAGATGGGCCGAAAATCTCTTGTATACCGATGACTTGGAATTGTCCTTTTCTGCCTTACCTTTGATTTCTTCATATTTTAATTGTTGCTTCAGGAAAATTGAATTTTTCACCATATCCTGAATATTGGCAAATACTGCACCCGACGCCTCAATGTCTTTCATCGAACGGACGGCATATTCCATATCGAAACAGTGGCCTTGTAAATCCTTTTGCAGCTCAATAACTTCGATGCGTTTGTCAAGGATGGGCTGTAGTACTTTTCTGACATGTTCCTGGATTCTGTAGAATGCCAGCGATGGATCATTTGCCACAATGTGAATGTTTTCGGATAGTTTTTCTGAAGATTTTCTAACTTTTACAGTTAAATCTGAATTCTGACTGGGCAATTTATGATTATTGGCCATTGTATCCTTTGTTTCTATCAATTCTATATATGCAGGTATTGTTTTGTTGTTCCAAAGTAACTGGTTCAATGGAAATATTCACTGCCTGAAACTGTGTGAACGAGCACGCTTTTTGTTTGCGAATGAAGAATGGAGCATAACAGACAAGTTATCAGCTGATGACTTGACAACCAAATTCCCATCAAGCGGCTATGCGACAACTCTGGCTACTCACGTTGGACTTGTAAACAAAAACATTTCAACATTTCTTGAAGGGGGTGGAGTCAATTCCATCTTCGAAAAAATGTCTTCCAATTATCAATCCAAAAAATTGGACAAAAAACAAAAACGCTGTGTCGCCATCATCCAAAATGAATGCAAGATTGAGCCGGTGGCAGATGGTATATCCAAATATGTGGCCATACTCAATGCCGGCCTATCGACAGGGCTAACCGAAGAGCTCGTTTTGGAGACCGTGGAGAAATTTGGAAAAATAACAAGACTACTCATGCTGCCCAACAAATCGTATTGCTTTATGGAGTGTAGCTCTACCGAGGATGCCCAAAACATTGTTCAGAATATGAATGGAATTTCGAAAATTGGACAAAAGGAGGCTGTTGTTTATCTGAGCTATTTTGACAGTCTCCCCCAGGCAGAGGATTCAAATTGGCTTAAACCATTACCCAAAGGATTGGTTATTTTGAATGATTTTGTAACGGAGGAGGAGGAAAAGCTACTACTGGACGTCATAAAAATGGATAATGTTGAGGTGGATGCTGCATTAAAACATCGGCGCGTTAAACATTTTGGTTATGAATTTATTTATGGAAAGAACAATGTGGATCCCCACAAGCCCTTGACCAATAAAATTCCTCAGAAATGTGACGCTTTGTGGCCTCGTTTGGAGTCAATCAGTAAATCTTGTAACTATGACTTTGATTGGTATGTTCCCGATCAATTGACAGTCAATTCCTATGAGCCTGGTCAGGGAATACCACCACATGTTGATACCCACAGTGCCTTTTTGGACCCCATTCTCTCTTTGTCTCTAGAGAGTGATGTTGTTTTGGAGTTTCGTAAGGGATTGGAAAAACGTTCAGTTCTGCTACCACGTCGCTCCTTGTTGGTTATGTCTGGAGAGGCGCGTTATGATTGGACCCATGGCATAACTCCTCGTGTTTTGGATGTTGTAATGACTGCCAATGGCAATTTATCTACTCGACGACGTTCTAAACGCACTTCACTCACCTTTCGCAGGCTTAGAAGAGCGCCATGTAATTGCAATTTCCCTCTGCTTTGTGATACCAAATTGGAGGCATTGAAACGTACAGAGTCCACAATAGAAAGCGAGAAAGCTGCACTTTTGGAAGAGAAAAATGTGCACAACGTTTATGATCACATTGCGGAGCATTTCAGTGAAACAAGGCATTCACCCTGGCCTCAAGTGGCGGATTTCCTAAAGAGTTTTCCACAATCTTCCATACTGCTGGATGTGGGCTGTGGTAATGGGAAATATTTGAATTGTAATCCCAATCTGCTTAACATAGGCTGTGATCGTAGCAGTGGTCTTCTCAAGGTGTGTTCCTCTCTCAACTATCAAACCTTTCGCTGTGACTGCATTCATGTACCAGTCAGATCCAATAGCGTCGATGGCTGCATAAGTATTGCAGTCATACATCATTTAGCCACCAAGGAAAGACGTCTCATGGCCATCAAAGAACTTGCCCGTATCTTAAGACCCTCCGGACAGGGTCTAATTTATGTCTGGGCCAAAGATCAAAATGCTAACAATAAAAAGTCATCTTATTTGAGACAAAATAAATCGGTTAATAAACAAAAAGCCACCGAAGAACAACAAAGACAACAAACGCAACAACAACTCGAGGAGAAGGCCAAAGAGGCTCCGGTTTCCCTGCCCGTTCATACAAATCGTACGGAGTTCTTGCAGCAGGATGTTCTGGTGCCATGGAAAGTGAAAAATGCATCAGCACAGCAAAGCGAGGCGGAGAAGTCGACGTTCTTGCGTTACTATCATGTTTTCGAGGAAAATGAACTGGAGTCATTAATTGGCGAGGTGAATGATATCAAACTTGTTAAAAGCTATTATGATCAGGGTAATCACTGTGTAATATTTGAGAAGCTTTCGAAAAGTTTGTGATTTAATGGAGCGTCTTGACGTAGGAGGGACTTGTAACTGTAATTTAAATAAAATTGACTTTTTTCATAAGCATAAGGATAATAAACCACATTCTATTAAATCCAATACCTGCCATCAACTTTTCCTTATCTTTTCTGGACAGGGTTATTACACCCTACAACACTATGTGTTGCCGGTATTATAAGTTTGATTGAGCCAAAAAGTACCCAGCTACATGTCCAATTATTGCCCGAAACTCCCGAAATTTCATAAATTTAGGATAGGTTTCAGCAGCTACACTAGAGTCGGTAGCTGCTTCACTCGGAGACCATTGGTCCATTGTATTCATACAAAGCAGATTTAGTTATGATAGAAAATATATAAATTGGAAGCAAAGAAGAGATAGAGGTAGCTAGTTATACGAAGGCTAGCCATGATATGCTTTTAGCAAATCTGTGGATGATAATGGGATCTTAGTCTGAGAAGAATTTTGGAGTTTCTATCTCCCACATACTGAACAACCTATGTCTTTTGCTTGGCACCGTGGGACATTTGCATTGTAGATGCTCAATCTACTTCTTCTTCATTTCCACAGTCCTGTCAGCAGTTGTGGTTGTTGTAGCAGTGGTACATGCAGATGTTTGTATTCTGCTAATCTTGTTCGAGCTCCAGGTTTAAAAATTCGCTGTAACCAGAGATCTTCTGGAGTGAGTTGGTTAGGTTTGGCGGTGCAATTAAAGAGGTGCAGGTTCTCTCTTATAGCGTTGGACCTCAATCTCCAGATCATGTATGTCCTTCTTGACGCCTGGGTGGGGTAGTTGTATCCACCATATGATGGTTGAGATGATTCCCACGATAACACCCAAGCAGGTATTGCAACGAAAGCATATGATTATGCTGATGTAAGAGCCCTTGTCCACACCCAAAGTGTTGCCTAGTAGCGCATTGAGGACCTTGTTTCTACTTTTCATATTGTCGCAGATAGCTGTGGCTTGTATGGACGATTTTAACATGCTGTCGAATGTGAGTCCTAGGATCTTGGGGTAGTTCGTGGTCGGTATTAAATTTCCTACGACCTGCACATTCAGCTTTACAATGGGGTAAAGACTATGGCCATCGATTTCGTGGCGGATATTTTCATATTCCTCGCGTGTAAGCATGCGACAAGCTTGCTGGCAGATGAGATTGTTGGCAGATGCCCTAAATAACTTGCAACCGGTTTCCAGCCTTTTTAAATCGGCACATCAATCGACTGAGAACAAACTCATGCTGATTCGTCAGCCATTTTATTCCCCACTATGTCCTGGGACCCAACAAATAGAGCAAAAAATTCCACTGTTAATGCTGAATGTCACTTCGAGGCGAATTCACTAATACATATATAAAATTTATATTTCCGACCTACGCATTGATGCTGATTCCGTTGAGGTTCTAGTCGAATAAGGGAGATATAGAATATATTCAAATAACGTTTTGTGTCTCCATTAGCAAGAGAGAGTGTGTAAATATAAGGCAATTACCGCGAAATCTTTCGTAGCTTAGGTCAAAAACCGATCAAAAACCTTGGAAAGGTCCCTAAATATTCGTCGTAGACTCCATAAAGTAAATATATTCATAATCAGCATAAAATTAGAAGTCGCTTTAACGATGTCCGTCTGATTGTCTGTCCGTTTGTTTGTCTGTTAAAATCATGATACAGCCCATATTATTTGACGTAGAACGTCAAAATTTAGCAGAACAATTTGTATTGTGACTAGGATGGTTGGTATTGGTCCACGTTTTGGTATAGTCCCCATATAACGGTATCTCTCGATATTCGGTATTTTGATGATTTTCGCCACAGTTTTCCACGGAATTGTGTAAAAATTGGTATTTGTAGGTCATAATGGGTTCTATCTCCGGTGACGAAACATGGCATGTATAGGTCCACATTTTGGTATAGCTCCATGAAACAGTACCTCCCGATATTCGGTATTTTGGAGATTTTTGACATATTTTTTTGCGGATTTGTCTAAAAATTGGAATTTGTTGGTCATAATGGGTTCTATCTCCGGTGGCGAAACATAGTATGTATAGGTCCACGTTTTGGTATAGTCGCCATACAACGGTACCTCCCGATATTCGGTATTTTGAAGATATTTGTCACATTTTTTTGTGGGGATTTGTCTAAAAATTTGTTTTTGTAGGTCATAATGGGTTCTAGTTTCGGTGGCAAAAAATTGTATGTATAGGTCCACGTTTTGGCATAGCCCCCATATAACAGTACCTCCCGATATTTGGTATTTTGATGATTTTTGCCACATTTTTTTCACGGATTTGTCTATAAATTGGTATTTGTAGTTTGTAATGGGTTCTAGCTCCGCTCGAGGAATATAGCATGTATGTACCACGTTTTGGTATAGCCCCCATATAACGGTACCTCCCGATATTCGGTATAATCCTAGTCACATTTACCCACATAATTGTTTTACATATGGTATTTTAGAAGATTTTATAGATTACAATCCTTGAAGTATAAAATTGTCTATGGAGGTTTCCGTTTTGCTATGGCCCCCATATAACGGCATTACTCACTTTATAATGTTTTGATAAGTTTAACTGCACTATCCAAATGGTCTTACTGGTATATGTAGTTTAAAGTGAAACATGCTTGAATTCATATACTTTTATATGGAAACGTTTCCTTTACCCTAAGTTGGAGGGTATTAAAAGTTCGAATTTAATGTTTTTTTACTTTTTTTTAGAATGAAATGGAACAAAGGCATTCATTTTAAAGTATTCAAATTATGGCCTTTTTGCTTACTAGGATTGTTGTTTCCTCCCAATTAAAAAGAAAAAACCACATTATCTTTATGTTTATATTTTCGTTGATGATGTATATTTTTTTGAATTCCAGTATTCTTTACAATGAATGAATAATAATGATTTTACAATTTTGGTTTTTCAAAGGCGACACAATCATGTAAATGAAGGAGGGGTCGAGATGGGGAATTTGAATTTTTGTTATTTTTTCTGTTTTCTTGTTACAATGTTAAAACTTATAAACTAATGAAACTAGAATTTATATACGATACGCATATATATGTAGGTATGTTGTATATTTCCCATTTGATTATTTCACATACATTAAGGACAATGAACATAAAATAATAAACGGATTATTTTATACAGAGGGGTAAGAAGAGATTTTAGTTTTTTTTTTGTTTTGGTATGTTTAACATTCATTGTTAAGTTAATTGGACCATGAATTGACAATTCCATCGTTTTATTCATTTGTTTTTGTTTTTTTTTTTTGGTTAAGGTAATTTGAAATAAAGGTGTGTGTGTAATTTAGAACTGTTAGAGTTGTTTTTATTACTTAATGCAGCTGTTTGTAAAAAAAATAATAATTACATTTATAGAATATTTATTTAAACACAACAGGACTTTAGCTAATTTGTAATGTAAATAGAATTTAGATATGTTTTTTTCTTTAAATTTTATCTAAACAAATAAAAATAAATACATTTAATTAAAAATTCAATTTTTTGCTCAATTTAAATTAGATTAATTATATAATAGTCGACAAAAAACAGATAGGTTCTTAAAATTATAAAAAACACTAGGAATATTTACACTTAAACATTTTGTTCATATAATTGAGTCAATATATATGGTATGTAACAAATGTATACATTTATAATTAATATTATTGTTGCTATTGAAATATATATTTTTAATAAAATATATATTTGTGTCTAAATTTCCATAGTCTTGTCATGTGTCATGCGACGAAAACCAAACCAATTTTTCTTTTATTATCTTTACTTTTCTTTTTAAAAAATAATCTACTATTCCTATAAATCTTTTCATATGAGCAATACCAATTACATTTTACCAAAATAGTGTTACTCAAAAACATCTGTATCTGCAGTTTTTTTCTTGATTACATTACTCTACGCCCTTTTCTTCTTAAAATAGTGTATTATACAAATTATATGTTTTCTTTTTATCTAAAATTTTAATATATATTTGTTTTCTTTTAAAGTTTTTATCTAAATATATGTGGATTTGTTTAATTTTATTTTTTTTATTTTTTTTTTTGTAGAGGATTTGCTTGGAGTTTTATTTGTGGGTTGTTTAGTTTTTTCATTTATATTTAGGTAAAGCTTACACCATTGTACCATGAAAGGGAAATATTAATTTCCATCGGCAATTGTTAGCAAACAAAAAGGAATCTAGAAGAAAAAAAAATATAAACAACTAAAAACATTAAGTTCGGCCGGGCCAAATTTTTAACACCCTCCACCATTGGGTAAAGAAAACATTTTTATAAGCGTATCTGAATTCAAACGTGTTCCACCTTAAAATACAAATACCAATAAGACCATTTGGATAATGCTCTTAAATAAATAAAAAACCATAAAGTGAGTGAGGCCATTATATGGGGGCCACACCAAAACGGGAAACTCCATAGACAAATTTATACTTCAAGTATTGTCATCTACCACATCTTCTAAAATACCAAATTTGGAACAATTTCGAGATAAAATATGATAAGGATTATCAAAATACCGATTATCAGTGGGTATCGTCATACAATGTGCGCTATAGGAAAACGTGGAACTAAATATTCAATGTTCTGCCACCTGGAGCTAAAACCCGTTATGAACTACAGATACCAAGTTTTAGACAAATCCGTGAAGAAAATGTAACAAAAATCATCAAAATACCGAATGTTGGGAGGTACTGTTATATGGAAGCTATACGAAAACATGGACCTATAATGTTTCGCCACCGAAGCTAGAACCCATTAAGACCTAAAAAGGCCAATTTTTAGACAAATATCGGGAGGTACTGTTATATGGGTGCTATACTAAAACATGGACCTATACATGCATGTTTCGTCACCTAGGCTAAAAGACATTACGACCTACAAAAGCCAATTTTTAGACGAATCCTGAAAAAAATTGTGGCAAGAATCATCAAAATACTGAATATCGGGAGGTACCGTTATATTGTAGGCTATACGAAAACGAGGACCTATAGATACAATGTTTCGACACCGGAGCTAAAACCCATTTAGACCTACAAATACAAATTTTTAGACAAATCCGTGAAAAATGTGGCAAAAATCAT